TTCTTCTTCTTCTTCTTCTTCTTCTTCTTCTTCTTCTTCTTCTTCTTCTTCTTCTTCTTCTTCTTCTTCTTCTTCTTCTTCTTCTTCTTCTTCTTCTTCTTCTTCTTCTGCCATATCCGTTATCGGACATTGGCAATCATGTTGACGATCCTGTTTTTATCAGCAGCCGCACGAAAAAGTGCTGCTGAGTTTTGTACCAAACCAGTCCCTTAGATTTTGAAGCCACGATGTTCTTCTTCTGCCTGGAGCTCGTTTGCCTTCAATCTTTCCCTGGAGGATTAAATGCTAACTTAGGAATGCGCAAACAGAGGAATCGGCCCTCTTTATTATTCACTTTTATTCACATGTTATTAGTAGTATTCACAGGAGTATTCCAAACAAAGAAGTGAAAATAATGGCAAGAGGAATCGCATTAGATTGAAACTGTAATCGGATTAGAAGGAATAGGTGAGATTTGGAAATCTTGGGAGAAGAAGCCGTAAAAACCTGGTAATAGATCGGATCAGAAAAGGGTTATTTTGAGGGTGAAGCGTTCGTTCTCCGAGCTTGTGGGTTGATTTCCCAACATTTTGTTACCAGGCTAGGTAACATTTTCAGCTGAGCTTACGGGATGTCAGTAGCAATGGTATTCTGTTTATAAGGGATTCAGGTGTGGGTGTGTCAAGTGAGGGTCTTGTGGTGGGTCGGGTGTGAGTCGTCAGAGAGAGGCTTGTGATGGGGAGGTTATATCAGGTCATTGGGAAGGAAGGGGGGCTTGGCGTGGGTTTATGTAAAGGAGTGTTTTTCTCTCTTGCAAAACTTATTTTTAGTACGTGGTCGTGTGAGAAAAGGAGCGTTTTCTCTCTACTCATCTTTGGGGTATTGGAAATCTGGAAGTAGACTTTCTGGGACTTCTGCTGAGGAACATATCCTTTGACTTTCAGGGTTTGGTATCCTTTGAGGAGGTGGCTGTGTATTTTACAGAGGAAGAGTGGGCGCTGCTGGATCCCAGCCAGAGAGCCTTACACGGGGAAGTCATGCTGGAGAATGCTAGGAATGTGGCCGCTCTGGGTAAGGATCTGTTTTGCTCTGGATTCGGCTAATTGTGGAAAGTCTCTTGTTGCCGTCAGTGCTCAAAAAAGCACCGTCTAGCTCAGGGGTAGTCAACCTTGGCTCTTTTATGACTCGTGGACTTCAATTCCCAGAATTCCTGAGCCAGCATGGCTCAGCTTGGAAACCTCTCCCTTTCCCCTCAGCATGGCTGGCTCAGGAATTCTGGGAGTTGAAGTCCACGAGTCATAAAAGAGCCAAGGTTGACTACCCCTGGTCTAGCTAGAAGAAGGACATTCTGATTTTGTTTTCTTTTTCCCCAACACCCGAGTAAATAAATGCAAAAGTTGGTAGATGCTTCACAAGATCTTTTCTCAGCTGAACTTTTATTGTGATTTGATTGAAGAGCAGATAACCTGAACAACTTTAGGTGGAGATGATACTGAATCCCTGTGGCATCAGTTTCCTTACAGCAGGGGTCTTCAAACTTGGCAACTTTAAGACTTGTGGACTTCAACTCCCAGAATTCCTCAGCCAGCCATTTGTCTGACATGGTATAGGATTTCCTGCCTGAGCAGGGGGTTGGACTAGAAGACCTTCAAGGTCCCTTCCAACTCTGTTGTTCTAGTCTATTCTAAGGAGAAATTTCCTGATAGTTAAACAATTAACCAGTGGAACAACTTGCCTCCAGAAGTTCTTATTTTTCCATTTTGGTGATAATAATAATAATAATAATAATAATAATAATAATAATAATAATAATAATAATAATAATAATAATAATAATAATAATAATAATAATAATAATAAATAATAATAATAATAATAATAATAATAATAATAATAATAATAATAATAATAATAATAATAATAATAATAATAAAGTTGGAAGGGACGTTGGAGGTCATCAGGTCCAACCTCCTGCTCAGGCAGGTAACCCTATACCATTTCCAGTCTCTTCTTAAAAACTTCCAGTGTTGGAGCATTCAGAGCTTCTGGAGGCAGGTTGTTCCACTGGTTAATTGTTCTAACCGTCAGGAAGTTTCTCCTTAGTTCTAGGTTGCTTCTCTTCTTGATTAGTTTCCATCCGTTGCTTCTTGTCCTGCCCTCAGGTGCCTTGCTCCTGATCTTTCAGTCTTTGGACAATCAAAGAGCAGAGTTTATTCGTCAGGAAAAAAACAGAAATTCCTCATGAAATTAGGAATTTGTTTTTTCCCCACGAATAAACTCGTGGCAAATAAAATAGTGTGTAAGATGAAAAATAAAAAGTGGGGAAGAGTCAAAAGAACATGCTGTCTCAGCCAGAGCTATAAGTAAAATCAAACCTGGGGGTTTTTTTTAGGCCTACAAGGAAACCAGCAAAATCTTGCATAAACCCAAATAACATCTGCAGCACTTCATTTGTGAACAATTTTTGAGATTAACTTTTTTTCTTTTTCCTTCAAATTAGCTTATGGGCAGGAGCATGAGAATTACAAGCACCCTAGGATATTATATACGATCAATTCTGAAGAAAGGATGCTTGGAAATCAAGGCGCATTTCAAAAGGGTTTGAGAAGTTGCATAAGAAATGGAAGGAAGATGTCTTCTGATCACAGTGAGGTCCATAGTCTTCAAACTCAGGAAGCTCACCAAGAAGAAGAAGAAAAGGGGAAATATCTCAGATGTGTCAAAGGAGACAAAGAGAACTCTGACTTCACTAAATATTCTACAACCGAGACTGAAGAGAAACAATATGAATATCAAGAGGATGGAGAAAGTATCAGCTCTGCCTCCTACCTTGCTTTACATTGCCCATCATACGCCAAAGAGACACCACATACATTTATAAATTGTGAGGAAAATTTCAGTTTCGGCGGTCATATAATTTCCCATAAAGAAGAGAAACCATCTGAGTGTGGGATGGATTTCAGTAAGAAACGGTTACTTGTTTTATCCCCCAAAATTCCCTCAAGGGAGAAACTTTATAAATGTCTGAGTTGTGAAAAGACGTTCACTCAAAGAAGTAACCTTATCACACATGAACGGACCCACACGGGGGAGAAACCGTATGTATGCCCGGTGTGTGGAAAAAGATTCAGTCAGAGCGGTCACCTCAAAACACATCAGCGATCCCACACGGGGGAGAAACCGCACACGTGCAAGGAATGTGGGAAAAGCTTCAGTTGCAGCAGCTATTTTATTTGCCATAAAAGGATTCATACAGGAGAGAAACCATATAAATGTCCGGAGTGCAGAAAGGGTTTTAATTGTAGCAGTCGTCTCGCATCTCATAAGAGAAAACACACCGGAGAGAAGCCTTATAAATGCACAGAGTATGGAAAAAGGTTTTCATATAAGGATGTCCTTACGAGACATCAACGAACCCATACAGGGGAGAGACCGTATACGTGCCGGATGTGTGGAAAGAAGTTCAGTGGGCGTTCAGAGCATAGAAGCCACGAAAGGATCCACACAGGGGAGAAACCCTACAGGTGCATAGAGTGTGGGAACAGCTTCCGTAAGTACAGTAATTTTATTCGCCACAAAATGGTCCACACGGGAGAAAAACCCTACAAATGCCAGGAGTGTGGAAAGAGCTTCACTCAGAACGCGAACCTTATCAAACACAAAAGAATTCACACGGGAGAAAAACCGTATCAGTGTGCAGATAATGGGCAAAACTTCAATCAGTCAAATTATCTTTCACCACACGGATCCACACAACAGAGAAACCATAACCCGGAAGCTTTCATCTCCAGTATGTTCTTCCAAAAAAGGGACCCTCATGGGAGAAACTAGAAATATGTGGTCTGTGGAGAAATAATAGACTTATCAGACCTAAAAGAAACCACATGGGCCAACCTTAAAAATGCCCTGAGTGAGAAAAGACTCAAACGGCCCTTTGAATTTATGCCCTTGTTTCCCATAAGAGATTTTATTTTGGGAGAAACACCTCAAGTACGTATAAACTCCTTGACTACCAGGACTTTGAAATGTGACTTTACATGAGCTCCGTGGATCATAAATGCGTGGAATATAGAAAGGGCTGATCCATACAGGAAAAAATGTATCAAGAGACGAAACCATTTTAATGGGACATGTCATCTTAAATCCCAGAAAAGTTCCACTTGGGAGAAATATGAATATATATTGTGGAATATATTTATTTATTTATTTTACTGACGTCTTCACCAAAGACACATCCACACATTGTTAGACCAACCTTGATTCCTCTGCCCAATTTAAGAGATTCGGTCTAGGATTGTTCTAATGAAGGCTATCAGGGTTTATCAGTTGCCCATGAAAACAAATTGAGGCTGGTGGGGAATGTTTAGCTTTGCAAAAAAGCATCCAAGAGGGATATAAAAGTATTTGATGAGGTGTCCCACAGAAGAGAGGAAAATCTTGTCCAGGATTGTCCCACGATACAGAATAAGAATGGCAGAATCCAGACAAATGCTACAAAAATGATAATGGTGTAAAACTGATCAGTACACAAATACCTCCATGTACTCCATCCAACCTTAATAAAGACAGATATACATGTTCTTCTCTCCAAAATCTTAACTTTTAGCCAACTTTTCAAAAATTTGGCTAGAGTTCTCCCTCAATTTAATTAATGAATTTATTTGGACTCCCCACCCCTACCCTTTCAAATGGAACATGCTATTTTCTGAGGCTGTATCCTTTTAAAAGTATAGATAATTTTCCTTTTTGGTATTCTGAATTTCCAAGCATATGCGTGATGTTTCTGTGCGTGAAGTATTAATACCACTTTACAATGCCTTAGTAAGGCCACACTTGGAATACTGCATCCAGTTTTGGTCACCACGATGTAAAAAAGATGTTGAGACTCTAGAAAGAGTACAGAGAAGAGCAACAAAGATGATTAGGGGACTGGAGGCTAAAACATACCGTAAAAGGAACGGTTGCTGGAATTGGGTATGTCTAGTTTAACAAAGAGAAGGACGAGGGGGGACATGATAGCAGTGTTCCAATATCTCAGGGGCTGCCACAAAGAAGAGGGAGTCAAGCTATTTTCCAAGGCGCCTGAAGGCAGGACAAGAAGCAAAGGGTGGAAACTAATCAAGGAGAGGAGCAACCTAGAACTACGGAGAAACTTCCTGACAGAACAATTAACCAGTGGAACAACCTGCCTCCAGAAGTGGTGAATGCTCCAACCCTGGAAGTTTTTAAGAAGAGATTGGATGGCCATTTGTCTGAAACGGTATAGGGTTTCCTGTCTGAGCAGGGGGTTGGACCAGATGACCTCCAAGGTCCCTTCCAACTTTATTACTATTATTATTATTATTATTATTATGTATCATCGCACAGTCAGCCAGATGTTCAGACTGGATTTGGCGTTGTTGTTGTTGTTGTTATTATTATTATTATTATTATTATTATTATCCATAACTCATTAAATGAAAGGCTTTATTTGCCATCACTTCCATCTGGTCAAAGCCATGTTGTAGACCTTTGATACAGGTGGGCTCTTGCCCAATTGTAATTTGATACACCTTGTCTAGTTTTGGGGGGGAGGTCTTCTGCTTCTTTGTTTTTGGGGGGCCCTCTTGCTCTGAGAAATAGGCTAGTCATTGTTCTTTGTTTCACTGATCTAGTTCTTGAAGGGTGTTCTTCACTGACTAGGCCAAGGGCATTTGCTGTGGGAGGAAGGATAAAAGGGCAAGAAAATAACCATGATTAAAATTGGGGGGGGGAGTGAGTGAGTTCTGATGACACTGGCATTTACAAGATGGAGGAAAGAAGCTACATCGTTTTTCATAAGTAGGACCTTCCTAATGGGGGGTTGAAATAATAATAATAATAATTTAAAAAGAATGCAAATGACCAGCTGTCTTCAAGGAGTATGATGATGATGATGATGATGATGATGATGATGATGATGATGATGATGATGATAATAATAATAATAATAATAATAATAATAATAATAATAATAATAATAATAATGTTAGCAGGTTGTTCCACTGGTTAATTGTTCTAACTGTCAGGAAGTTTCTCCTCAGTTCTAGGTTGCTTCTCTCCTTGATTAGTTTCCATCCGTTGCTTCTTGTCCTGCCTTCAGGCACCTTGGAAAATAGCTTGACTCCCTCTTCTTTGTGGCAGCCCCTAAGATACTGGAATACTGAGTCCCCATAATTTCTTCTTTCAAGATGTTTTAGTTTTTCTGTGGGAACAGAGAGAAGCTGCTGGGGGGGTGGGGGAAGAGGCTGGAAAAAAACGAGATTGTTGTTTTCTCATGTAGATTTCCCTACCCAGAGATACTGTTTAGTTCATGACTGTGCAGTGAATACAGGTAGTCCTCGACTTAACAACAGTTCATTCACCGACCATTCGAAGTCACGACGGCACTGAAAAAAAGTGACTTGTGCCCATTTTCCACACTTAACGACCGTTGCGGCATCCCCATGGTCAAAACGCGATCCAAATTCAGCCTCCTGGCGGCTGACTTGTATTTACAACGGTCGCAGTGTTCCGAGATCCTGCGATCACTTTGTGTGACCTGCCGACGAGCAAAATTATGAGAGCAAAATTATGAGCCCAAAATTTCTGTTGCTCAGCGAGGCAGTTAAGTGAGTTTTGCCCCGTTGTGTGACCTTTCTTGCCACCGTTGTTCAGTGGATCGCTGCAATTGTTAGTAACATGGCTGTCTCACTTAGCCACAGAAACGTTGGGCTCCATTGCGGTCGTACGTCGAGGGGCAAAACCCGCTTAACAAACATCCTTGCCTAGCAACAAAAACGTTGGCCTGCATTGTGGTCGTAAGTCGAGGACTACCTGTACTCGGGGATCTCCTTTAAAGACCTGAAAGGGAGCCCAAAGAGACGGAGCATGCGCGAGAGAGCTTTGACAGCAGTGGGCTCCTTGCAGGAAAAGGGAGGGGGGAGGACATTTTAAAAGAGGGGGGCAGGAGAGGGAGCGAGGCTGTCGGAATGGGGACACTCTAGGAAGAAGCGCTCTCGCCCGTAGTCCGAGGTTCCCGAAGATGGAGAGCAGGCAGTGAATGGCAGATCGAAACCGGAAGGAAGCGTGATCCCGTTTAGCCGGGGAAGCTTTTCCCGGAAAGGAGGCGGAGGGGAGGGGGAGTGGCTGGGCGTCCGGAGGCAGCAGGCGCCGCCGCCGCGGGGAAGGGAGTTTAGTCCGCCCGATGGCCTCGCCGAGCCCGGGAGCAGCGCCGGGTCCTCCTGCCGCCGAGCCCGAGGAGGAGCCGACTCCGCCAAGGGGCTCCGAGGAGGCGGAGGGCTTCCTCCGCTGGGGCTGCCGGGCGTCGGCGGAGCCCCGGCCGGTCTTCTGCAGCCGCCTGCAGCAGCCGCTTTGCCCCGGGTGGCTGAAGCCCGAGCGGAGCGGCCAAGCCGGGCTGGCGGACCGGGGGATCCTGGAGCGGCTCCTGGCCGCGCTGCCCCCGGAGATGGCGGGCTGGCTGCGGGGGTGCCGGGCGGAGAGCGTCCCCCAGGAGGGGACCCCGACCGAGAGATCCCTGCTCAGCCGGGCCCGGGAGGAGCGGAGGTGGCCGCAGGTGAGGAGAGGGGGAAGGATCCCCTCCTCTGGAAGGGCCGCTTTCCTTGCCCGGCTCAAGCGCATCAATAGAGAAAGAGACTTTGATTTTCCCCTCCTCTTTCAGTTCCAGAGTGGGATTATCCTCCTCCAGATTATTCCATAGGATGGAGAAGGGGAACCCCAAGGGAATTTGCATCTCCAACTATGGACCCAAAACACAATCCCGCTTTGGAGACACAAATGCAGGTTGCCACAATAGAAGAGGCTTTGGTTTCCCTCGATTTTAAATTCCCAGAGTGGTGTTTCCTCCTCCACAGGTGGAATAATCCCAAAGAATCCCAAATCAATTTGCATCTCCAACTTTGGATACATCAGTAGAAGAGACTTTGGTTTCAATAGTGCATCAATAGAAGAGACTTTGGTTTCCCTCCATGTCAGTCCCAGAGTCCTGTTTTTCTCCTCTAGGTTATTCCACAGGAAGAAGGGGAATCCCAAGGGAATTTGCGGCTCCAGCTATAGATCCAAAACACAATCCAGCTTTGGAGACACAAATGCAGGTTGCAACAATTGAAGAGGCTTTGGTTTCCTTCCATTTTTCAGTCCCAGAGTGGTGTTTTCCCCCCCCCTCCAGATTATTCTACAGGATGGAGAAGGTAATTTGCATCTCCAACTATGGATATAATAATAATAATAAAGTTGGAAGGGACCTTGGAGGTCATCTAGTCCAACCCCCTGCTCAGGCAGGAAACCCTACACCATTTCGGACAAATGGCTGTCCAGTATCTTCTTAAAAACTTCCAGTGTTGGAGCATTCACCCTTCTGGAGGCAGGTTGTTCCACTGGTTAATTGTTCTAACTGTCAGGAAGTTTCTCCTTAGTTCTAGGTTGCTTCTCTCCTTGATTAGTTTCCATCCGTTGCTTCTTGTCCTGCCTTCAGGCGCCTTGGAAAATAGCTTGACTCCCTCTTCTTTGTGGCAGCCCCTGAGATATTGGAACATTGCTATCATGTCCCCCCTCGTCCTTCTCTTCATTAAACTAGACATACCCAATTCCAGCAACCGTTCCTTATATGCTTTAGCCTCCAGTCCCCTAATCATCTTTGTTGCTCTTCTCTGTATTCTTTCTAGAGTCTCAACATCTTTTTTACATCGTGGTGACCAAAACTGGATGCAGTATTCCAAGTGTGGCCTTACCAAGGCATTGTAAAGTGGTATTAACACTTCACGTGATCTTGATTCTATCCCTTTGTTAATGCAGCCTAGCACTGTGTTGGCCTTTTTGGCAGCTGCAGCACACTGCTGGCTCATATTTAAGTGATTGTCCACTAGGACTCCGAGATTCCTCTCACAGTTTCTACTATTGAGCAAGGTACCCCCTATACTATACCTGTACATTTGGTTTTTCTTGCCTAAATGTAGAACCTTACTTTTTTCACCATTGAATTTCATTTTGTTAGATAGCGCCCAGTGTTCAAGTCTGTCCAGATCCTCCTGTATCCTAACACAGTCCAACTTTGGAGACACAAATGCAGATTGTGACAGTGGAAGAGACGTTAGTTTCTCCCCATTTTCAGTTCCAGAGTGGGGTTTCCCCACCCAGATTATCCCACAGGAAGAAGGGGAATCCCAAGGGAGTTTGCATCTCCAACTATGGATATAACACAGGCCACTTTTGCAGACAAAAAAGGATCCCCTCGTTCCAATGTTCAATTGTTTTAACTGTTGTTCTTCTGTCATTCTGGCTCTTATTTCACATGCAGGAGCCTTTGAAGCAGGTGGTCTTGGTAACTCCTGAAGGAAGAGAAACTTTCTCCAGTCCATCTATGGGGCAGCTGTTGAGAATTTCTGAGAAGGATCAAGATCCTCTTTGTGATGGAGCAGCAACAATTCAGGTAGGGAAGCTTTATAAGAATAAGGAAACATTTGGGGATCTGCTTCTGTCAATGAAACTCAATGCAGATCGTCATAAGGAGATCAGATGTTGATATCAGGATTCAATGGCATGGTCCTGCTTTCAGGCGACTTGTTGAAGGGAAGCACATTGAGAAGTCGAATATATTCATGGAATCACTTGTATATTTGCGGGTTTTTGTGCCTGCAACTGATTAAAATGAATGCCTTGCAGTGTTTGGGATGTGCAAGAAGAGGAATCGGTTCTTTTATATGTTCACTATCATTAATAATTGGAGTGTTCACAAAAAGATCAAAGAAGTCTATAGCAAGAGAACTGCATTAACGTTAAATCTTAATCAGTTTAAGTGGAATATGTGAGATACGAAATCTTTGGAAAGGCAGCCGTCATGTCAGAAAGAGGAGCATTTTCTCTCTTGCAAAACTCATTTTTAGAATGTCGGAAAATAATAATAATAATAATAATAATAATAATAATAAAGTTGGAAGGGACCTTGGAGGTCATCAAGTCCAACCCCCCGCTCAGGCAGGAAATCCTATACCATTTCAGACAAATGGCTGTCCAGTCTCTTCTTAAAAACTTCCAGTGTTGGAGCATTCACAGCTTCTGGAGGCAGGTCGTTCCACTGGTTAATTGTTCTAACTGTCAGGAAGTTTCTCCTTAGTTCTAAGTTGCTTCTCTCCTTGATCAGTTTCCATCCAATGCTTCTTGTCCTGCCTTCAGGCACCTTGGGAAATAGCTTGATTCCCTCTTCTTTGTGGCAGCCCCTGAGATATTGGAACACTGCTATCATGTCCCCCTTCGTCCTTCTCTTCATTAAACTAGATATACCCAATTCCATCAACCTTTCCTTATATGTTTTAACCTCCCATCTCCAGTCCATTCTGAGAGTCTCTGTTAAGGAATGTTTCCGTTGACTTTCAGGATTCGGTATCGTTTGAGGAGGTGGCTGTGTATTTCACGGAGGACGAGTGGGCACTGCTAGAACCCAGCCAGAAAGCCTTATATGGAGATGTTATGCTGGAAAATTCTATGACTGTGGCCACTCTGGGTAAGGCTCCACTTTGCTCTGGGTTTAGTTGTGGAAAGTCTTTGTTAAGGTGGTGAGAAAAAAATCACCTTGCTAGAAGAAGGACATTCTGTGCCCTTTTCCCCCTAAGTGCAAAATAAATATATGAAAAAGTTGGTAGCACAGATGCTTCCTGAGATTCTTCCTCATCTGATCCTTTGAGGAAGTTTTTTTAGTGAAAGTGATAGCTTTTCTCTGATCTGATTCAAGAGCAGATAGCCTAAACAGCTTTGGATGAGGAAGATGCTGCCCTGAATGTCTCTGACATCTGTTTACAACCATCCAGTTTCTTACGTTGATAACCAGTGGCAGTTTTCATACTGGCTGTTACATCAAAGGCTCTCTTTTGGCTCTGGGTAAATCATTTGTAAATTTCCTGCAAGGCTGAGAATAATCCAGTTCATACTTTAAACAGTTACGCAGCGACTAGACAAGCAGTGAAAATACGTATTTTAATATTTCTGCAGTGATTCCACATGCGCTGGCAGTTTAGCATCTTCTCCGTATTCTCATGGCATTTAAAGGAAGTCATAAATTTATAGTGTTCTAGGTATACGACGACGAAACCGGTAAAATCTTGTTTATGAGAGAAACAATGTCTGCAACGCTTTTCTTTCGTGAACGGTTTTTGACCTTTTTTTTTTCTTTTTGTTCCTTTTTCTTTCTTCAAATAAGCTTACGGACAAGAGCACGAGAACTACAAGGAGCAAATGATCAAGTCTGAAGAAGGCACGCTTGTAGATCAAGAACTACCACAAGGGATTAAGAAAAGCCGTAAAGCGAGCGGAGGGAAGGAATCTCCCGGATACAATGAAGTCCTTTATCTCCCAACCCAAGAAGTTCACCATCAAGAAGAAGAGGGGAAATATCTCATAGGTGGCACAGGAGACAAAGAGAACTCCGATTTTACTAAATATTCTGCAACTGAGACTGAAGAGAAACAATATGAATATCAAGAGGATGGGCAAAGTATCAGCTCTACCCCCTACCTTGCCTTACCTTGCCCATCGTACACCCAAGAGACACCCTATACATTTATAAATTATGGGGAAGATTTCAGTTTCAACAGGCATATAATTTCCCACACAGAGGGGAAACCATCTGAGTGTGGGATGGATTTCAATAAGAAACAGTTACCTATTTTACCTTCCGAAATTTCCCCAAGGGAGAAACCTTATAAATGCCTTCGGTGTGAAAAGGTATTCGCTCAAAGAGGTAATCTCATCATACATGAACGGACCCACACAGGGGAGAAACCATATATATGCCTGATGTGTGGACGAGGATTCAGTCAGAGTGGTCACCTTACAAGACATCAGCGATCCCACACGGGGGAGAAACCGTATACCTGCCTGCAGTGTGGAAGGCAGTTCAGTGGGCGTTCAAACCTTGTGAAGCACGTAAGAAGCCACACCGAGGAGAAACCGTATATGTGTACGGAGTGTGGAAAGGGTTTCCGTGACAACAGCGTCCTTGTTTGCCACAAGAGGATCCACACAGGAGAAAAACCATTCAAATGCCTGGAGTGTGGGAAGAACTTCAGGCGAAATTGTCACCTTGTGGAACATAAAAGAATCCATACAGGAGAGAAACCCTACCGGTGTTTGGAGTGCGGGAAGAACTTCAGTCAGAAAAGCAACCTTTTGCAACATAAACGGATTCACACGGGGGAGAAACCATACACATGCCTGGAATGTGGGAAGAGTTTCAATCAGAGCAGTCAATTTGTTTGCCATAAAAGGATCCATACGGGGGAAAAGCCCTACAAGTGCATGGAGTGTGGGAAAAGGTTCGGTCACAATGGTAGCCTTTTGCAGCATAGAAAAATTCACACGGGAGAAAATCCCTATAAATGCGCGGAGTGTGGGAAATGCTTCAATCAGAACTATAAGCTTTTGCAACATACAAGGATTCACACAGGGGAGAAACCATACGTGTGCAAGGACTGTGGGAAGAGTTTCAGTTGCAGCAGTGATTTTATTTGCCATAAAAGGATTCATACAGGAGAGAAACCGTATAAATGTCCGGAGTGTGGAAAGGGTTTTAATAAAAGCAGTCGACTTACATCTCATAGAAGAAAACACACAGGAGAGAAGCCATATCAATGCATGGAGTGTGGAAAGAGGTTTTCCTATAAGGATGGCCTAACAAGACATCAACGAACCCATACTGGGGAGAAACCATATATATGCTTGATATGTGGAAAGAAATTCAGTGGGCGTTCGGGTCTTAGAGCCCACGTCAGAATCCACACGGGCGAGAAACCCTACAGGTGCCTGGAATGTGGAAAGAGCTTCTGTAAATACAGTAATTTCATTTGCCATAAAAGGATCCACACAGGAGAAAAACCCTACAAATGCCAGGAGTGTGGAAAGGGCTTCACTCAGAACGCGAACCTTATGAAACACAGAAGAATTCACACAGGAGAGAAGCCGTACAAATGCACAGACTGTGGGAAAAGCTTCAACCAAACAAATCACCTTTCACAACATGAAAGAATCCACACCAGAGAAAAACCATAAGTTGGAAGCTTTCCGCTCAAGTCTTCCCTTTTGAAAAAAAGGACCCTCGTGGGAAAAATTAGAAATTTGCGTACTGCAGAGTAGTGTTCAGTTAGATGAGTAACATTATCAGACCTAAAGGAATCCACATGGGAGAACAATAAAACGCCCCGTGTGAGAAAATATTCAAATGGCCCTTGGAATTTATGCCCTTATTTTCCCAGATCTTAACTTGGAAGGAATACCTCAAACTCTGAATCCCAGGACTGACCCTAAACCCACAAAAATGTGCGTCTGGATGAGCTGCATGGATTTAAAATGTTATGCTGGTGAGAAACCAACCATTACACAAATACCTCAATGGACTCCAACCTTAATAAAGGCAGATACCCATTTCCTCCTCTCCAAAAGCCCATTCAATTCCAAAATTTGGCTAGAGTTCTCTCTTAATTTAATTATTGAAGAATCTATTTGGAATGGTGTTTTTTTTCCTTTCCCTTGGAACATGCTAGTCTCTGGGGCTGTATCTTTTGTAAAAGGGTAGATAATTTTCCCTCTCTTTTTTTATCCTCGATCTCCAGGCAGAAATGCCTACATGATTCTATCCATAACTCATGAAATGACAAGATTTGCCGTTGTTTCCCATCTGGTCAAAGCCAGAGACTGAAAGAAGTGTCCCCACAACTCCTTATTTGGGGAGAAAGCTTTAGTTCTGGAAGTAGAGGGGAGCTGCTGAGGGAAAGAGGTCAGAAAAAAGCGGGATTGTATGTCGTCTTGTGTAGATTTCCCTCAGAGATACGTTTTAGGCCATGACTGTACATTGAGTAGTTCCTTGTATTTCTCTCTCTTGCTACTGAATACTATACCCTATACTATACTAAAATCACTAATTCCAACTATTCAAGTTAAAAAATAAACATTTAGTTTCAATTACTTCTCCATTACAGTTGCAGAATAACAGAGTCGGAAGGGACCTTAGAGGTCATCTAGTCCAACCCTCTGCTCAGGCAGGAAACCCTACACCATTTCAGACAAATGGTTGTCCAGTCTCTTCTTAAAAAACTTCAGTGTTGGAGCATTCCCAACTTCTGCTTGTACCTTTTTTCCCCCCAGTGCTCATTAATTGAACCAATGCTTTATTATGGGGGTTGGACTAGACCTCCAAGGTCTCTTCCAACTATTCTGTTCTGTTCCATTCTGTTCCGTTCCATTCTGTTCCATTCCATTACATTTTATTGTATTGTGTTCTGTTCCATTCCATTCTATTCTGTTCTGTTCCATTCAGTTCCATTTTATTGTATTGTGTTCTGTTCTATTCCATTCCATTCTATCCTGTTCTGTTCCATTCCATTTTATTATATTGTGTTCTGTTCCATTCCATTCTATCCTGTTCTGTTCCATTCCATTCCATTTTATTATATTGTGTTCTGTTCTATTCCATTCCATTCCATTTTTTCCTGTTCTGTTCTGTTCCGTTCCATTTTATTTTATTTTATTCCATTCATTCCATTCTATCCTGTTCTGTTCCATTCCATTTTATTGTACTGTGTTCTGTTCTGTTTTGCTGAAAACTGGAAGTTGGGGGTTTTTTTTTGGCAAAAATGTAAAATGTGGTGACATGACTGCAGCACACTGCAAACAGTGATAAAAGTGGGCCAGCTGCCAAGCACCTGACATGTGATCGTGCGATCATCCGGGGTGTGCATGTCTGTTGGAACAGGAGTATCAGTACCCCTGGGAATGTCTATCATAATTTCAAAAGTTGCTAACCAGTGAATTGTTGCAAAATGAGAAGAAACTGAAGTAAGATATTCCGCATGTGGAGAAGGAAATCGAAAGAAGTAGCCCATCACTATCATGGACTCCTAAGGCTAGTAATGGCCTGAGAGGTTTTCTAGTGGGATCCCAGCACAGGACAGGAATCCTCAGGCAAGCCAGACAAATTCCTGTTCAATCTTGGACTCCAAACTTCCAATAAGGGAGCCCGTCACGGCTTAAGTATACAGGTAGTCCTCAACAAACGTCTCGGTTAACAACAGAAATTTGGGGCCACCACAATGGAGCCCCAAATTTCTGTTGTTAACTGAGACGTTTGTTGAGTGAGTTTTGCCCCATTTTATGACCTTTCTTGTCACAGCTGTTAAGTGAATCACTGCAGCTCTTAAGTTACTGTAGTAACACGGTTGTGAAGTGAATCGGGCATCCCCGTTGACTTTGCTTGTCAGAAGGTCGCAAAAGGGGATCGCACGACCCCAGGACACCGCAGCCGTCATAAATATGAATTGCCAGGCATCTGAATTTTAATCATGTGATCATGGGGATGCTGCAACGGTCGTGATTGTGAAAAAAGGGTCATGAATCACATTAATAAGGGAGAATATTTGTAGCTCAGGGTTGACTTGAAGGGTCTTTGGTGCTCTCTGAGCTTGCTTGTTTTCTTGGCAGACGTTTCATTACCCCAAACAGATAACATCATCGGTGCTAGTCCTGGCACTGATGATGTTATCTAGTTTGGGTACTGGTGATGTTACCTAGTTGGGGTAATGAAACGTCTGCAAGAAAACAAGCAAGCCCCCCCTCATAAATCACCTTTTTCAGTGCCCTTGTAACTTTGAAGGGTTACTAAACGAACATGTTGTAACTCAAGGACTCCCTGCACCAAAGGAGGCGGGAATTAGACAGCCCGACAATATCTCCCTCGCTTGGACTTCCTGGATCCCCTCCCAAGTCTGCTGGAGATGCACCCTTCTCCAAAACTCTGGGTAGAGCTGCAGGAATCAAAAAACAGCTCTTATTAGCTTAGAGCGGGACTGAGCATGCGCGTGAGAGCTTCTTGACAGCCGTCACCTTTTGCAGGAAAGGGGCAGAATGCGGGGTGGGGGGCGGAGTGGTGGCGGCCGCCGAAGACATTTAAAAGAAGGAGGAGGGGGAGACTTGAACGTTGACACTCTAGGAAGAAGCGCTCGCTCGCCCGTGGTCCGAGGGCTCCCGAAGGCGGGGAGCAGGGAGTGAACGGGAGCTTCGCTCCCCCAGATCGAAACCGGAAGGGAAGAAGAGCACACCTCCCGGGGAGGCTTTTCCTGCTCCCCCCCCTTTTCCCGGGAAGGAGGAGGCGGGGAGGGAGGGGGCGACCGGAGAGGCTCCTGGGCAGAGGCGGCCGGGTAGGAGAGGAGGGAGCCGCCGCGAGGAAGGAAGCCCGGCAGCCGCTCTGCCCCCGGAGATGGCTGGCTGGCTGCGGGAGTGCCGGGCGGAAAGTGGCGCCCAGACGGGAGCCCTGGTCGAGGGCTGCTTCTTGCTCAGCCGAACCCGGGAGGAGCGGAGGCGGCGGCAGGTGAAGAGGGGGGAGGATCCTCTGCTGGGAGGAAAAATCCCAAGGGGATCTGGTTTCCTTTAACTGCCTTGTCCTTCTGGGTGGATCTCCTCCTGGGAGGAAGGATCCCCTGGGGACATGGTTTCCTTTAACTGCCTTGTCCTTCTGGGTGGATCTCCTCCTGGGAGGAAGGATCCCCTGGGGACATGGTTTCCTTTAACTGCCTTGTCCTTGTGGGAAGATCCCCTCCTGGGAGGAAGGATCCCAAGGGAATCTGGTTTCCTTTAACTGCCTTCTCCTTCCGGGAGGACCCTTTCTGGGAGGAAGGATCCCAAGGGGATCTGGTTTCCTTTAACTGCCTTGTCCTTCTGGGAGGATCTCCTCCTGGGAGGAAGGATCCTCTGGAGACATGGTTTCCTTTAACTGCCTTGTCGTTCAGGGAGGATCCCCTCCTGGGAGGAAGGATCCCAAGGGGATCTGGTTTCCTTTAACTGGCTTGTCCTTCTGGAAGGATCCCCTCCTGGGAGGAAGGATCCCCTGGGGACATGGTTTCCTTTAACTGCCTTGTCCTTGTGGGAAGATCCCCTCCTGGGAGGAAGGATCCCAAGGGAATCTGGTTTCCTTTAACTGCCTTCTCCTTCCGGGAGGACCCTTCCTGGGAGGAAGGATCCCAAGGGGATCTGGTTTCCTTTAACTGCCTTGTCCTTCTGGGAGGATCTCCTCCTGGGAGGAAGGATCCCCTGGGGACATGGTTTCCTTTAACTGCCTTGTCCTTGTGGGAGGATCCCCTCCTGGGAGGAAGGATCCCAAGTTTCCTTTAACTGCCTTCTCCTTCTGGGAGGACCCTTCCTGGGAGGAAGGATCCCAAGGGGATCTGGTTTCCTTTAACTGCCTTGTCCTTCTGGAAGGATCCCCTCCTGGGACGAAGGATCCCCTGGGGACATGGTTTCCTTTAACTGCCTTGTCCTTCTGGGTGATCTCCTCCTGGGAGGAAGGATCCCAAAGGGATCTGGTTTTCTTTAACTGCCTTGTCCTTCTGAGAGGATCCCCTCCTGGGAGGAAGGGCCGCTTTGCCTCGCCCTGCTCAAGTGTATTAATAGAGGAGAGACCTTTTGGTCCCAGACTTCTGGTTCCCCATCCAGGTTATTCCACAGGAGGAAAAGGGACTCCCGAGGAAATTTGCGTCTCCAATTATGGATATAACCCGGTCCAGCTTTGGAGGCACAAATGCAGATCAGATCATGACAGTTGAAGAGACTTTGGTTTCCCTCTCCTTTCGGTCCCAGAGTGGGGTTTCCCCCTCCAGATTATTCTACAGGTGGAGAATCCCAAAGGCGCTTTTTTCAGGAGGCAACTGGACTTCCTTGTTTTTTCTTTGAAGACGTTTCGCTTTCTCGTCCAAGAAGCTTCCTCAGCTCTGACTGGATGGTGGGGAAGGGAAGGGTTTATACTCCTTGCAGACAGCTGGTCATTTGCATTCATTTAGAGAGTCGTTGAGGCCACTGGGAGGTTTACCTGTTTCCTCAGCGTCACCTGGATAGTGCAAATGTGTGTGGAGCCCCTTGGCTGCAGGATGCTTTTTCTGCCCTGTGGGTCTTGTCACTGTTGAAGACAGGTGCAGGCTATTAGAGATGAGTTTCTGTTATCTGTGTCTCAAAGTGAAGCGCAAATGGTTCCCGTAGTCTGCAGGGATTTTCTGGAAATGCGTTCATACTCCCCCACCATTTGAAAGTGTTCATCCCAAAGTGCATAGCTGAATGTCTATGGCAGTGATGGCGAACCTTTTAGAGACCGAGCGCCCCAAAACTGGCTCCGTCCCAGCTCCATCCCCTGTCCCGCCCCTACCCCGCCTGCTCTCAAGGCCACTCACCGCCTCCAGGGCCTGCCGCAGATCAGCCAGGCAGCCCAGCAGCGCCACGGCGGCCACGCCCTCTGCCCGCGCCCCGCAGCATCAACTATGCGGGATGGGGCGTGAGGGCAGAGTCTTGTCTACACTGCCTGGCTGCCATGTCCTTGGCTACGCTGCTCCGCGTGGGCCATGCTCAGGGGCGACTCTCCTCCAGGGGGGCTGCTGGTGAGGAGGGGTGTGTGGGGGAGGCGAGGCTTGGGCAACGGCACGTGTGCCCACAGAGAGGGCTCCGAGTGCCGCCTCTGGCACGCGTGCTATAGGTTCGCCACCACTAGTCTATGGAGATTCTCAGTCATCCAGGTCAAGTTTGTCCCAACCATGACCTGGATGACTGAGAATCACAGACAATAATCCCAAAGGATCCCAAGGCAACTTGCGTCTCCATCAAGGGATATAAGATGGTCCAGCTTTGGAGGCAGAGAAGAATCCCCTGGTTCCAATGTTCAGTTGTTTTAACTTTTTTTCTTCTTGTCATCCTGGCTGTTATTTCAGATGCAGGAGCCTTTGAAGCCAGTGGTCTTGGAAATGTCTGAAGTGAGAGATCTCTCCAGTCCATCTATGCAGCAGCCATGGGGAAGCATCTCTGAGGAGGAAGAGCAAAATCCTCTTTGTGGTAGATCAGCCACAGCCCAGGTAGAGAAATTTCATCAGAGCTGGGAAACATTTGAGGATCTGGTTTTTCATGGGACTGAATGCGGATCGTGATGAGAATGTCAACTGTTGATATCAGGACCCATTTGCTTGGTCCATGCTTTCAAGTTGTTTGTTTGCAGGTAACATTTTGAGAGATTGAATTCATTTGTGGAATCAGCTGAGCATTTAAGGTTCTTACGAATGCAACAGGTTGCAGTATTTTATCTAAGATGAGTGTTGTTTTATTTTTATTATATTTATATATATCACGTTTAGAGACCATCCATATCAATGAGCGATTCTGCACAGAGCTTTATCAACTTAGGGATCTGCAAGAAGAGGAATTGGCTCCTTTGTTTGTTTAATTTATAAACACATTTAGTAGGCATAACCCATAAAAATAACCAAATGTTAAATTATAGCAAAAAGGGGAGCATTGCCATTCAATTCTAATCAGATTAAAAATCAGATATATTGGCTTTGGGTTACCGCATCGAAGAAGCAGTTATAAGAGGAAGAATTTAGGAAAGGAAATGGCAGTTTTCATACAAAAGGAGATAAAAACACAGGTGCTTAGACCTCTTTCTCTGCGAGGAATTGTGCCAGGAATTAATTCCAACCAGGCACGTGGAACGAGGGGGGAGCGCCTCCTCATATCATTTAGGGCTCCATTTTGATCTAAAGCAGTGGTTCTCAACCCTTTTAATGCCGCGACCCCAACCGGTCGTAAGTCGAGGACTAAACCGGTTGTAAGTCGAGGACTAAACCAGTCGTAAGTCGAGGACTACCCAACCGGTCGTAAGTTGAGGACTTTCCCTGCCCGGGAGTGCCGCGCATGCGTGGTTCCGCCTCCTGCGCCGGCTGAGGTGTAGCTGGCAAGCGGCAGAGATGGAGCAGGCCGACCACCAGCTGGCCCAGCCCAAGGGAGGTAAGGCACCCGCCGGAAAAGGGGGGGGAAAATGGCGGACAAAAAAAATGGCGGACAGCCTTGCTTGGCGACCCCCATGAAATGGTCGATTGACCCCAAATGGGGTCCCGACCCACAGGTTGAGAACCACTGATCTAAAGAAAGTCTCTCCGGGATGGTTATGTTGTTACTTCAACGGGCATGCTTTGTGCACTTGGGAATGCTTCCAAAGTGAATCTAAATCTAATCTAAAACCAGGTAGTACGTCGTGTGAGAAAAGGAGCGTTTCCTCTCTTGGAAAACTCACCTTTGGGGGTATTGGAAATCTAGAAGGAGACTTTCTGGGACTTCTGCTGAGGAACATATCCTTTGACTTTCAGGGTTTGGTATCCTTTGAGGAGGTGGCTGTGTATTTTACAGAGGAAGAGTGGGCGCTGCTGGATCCCAGCCAGAGAGCCTTACACGGGGAAGTCATGCTGGAGAATGCTAGGAATGTAGCCGCTCTGGGTAAGGACCTGTTTTGCTCTGGGTTCGGCTAATTGTGGAAAGTCTCTTGTTGTCATAAGTGCTCAGAGAGCACCAGGACCCCTCATTTCAACCCTGAGCTACAAATATTCTCCTCCATTGGAAGCACCTTCAAGTAAGGAGAAGGACATTCTAGGTCTAGGACAGTGGTGGCGAACCTATGGCACGGGTGCCAGAGGCGGCACTCAGAGCTCTCTCTGTGGGCATGCGCGCCGTCACCCCAGTCCTAGGCCTTCAGCTGGGTTTTATAAAACCTTTTCGCTGTAGGCCTCCGCCGTCAAGTGCAAAAAAAAAAAAAAGGTTAATCAGTCAATTTCAACTTCTCGCGGGAAAAAAAAAGATCTTGCAAAGTTGGAATTGATTGATTGAACTTCTTAGTCCCACCCAGTCTGCTGTTACCACTGCAGCCACGCCCATCCAATGGGCCACACCCACCCAATGGGCCACACCCACCCGGCACCGGACGATGCATAAGTGGGTTTTGGGTTGCAGTTTGGGCACTCAGTCTCTAAAAGGTTCGCCATCACTGGTCTAGAATATTTCTAAGACCAAAATAAACATATGGAGAAGTTGATACTGTAGATGCTGCATAGGATCTCTTTTCATCTAAGTGTTTGAGGATATTCTTTAAGTGAAGATGTCTGGTTTGATTCGAGGGCAGATAATCTAAACAGCTTCAGGGGAGGGAGATACTGCCCTGAATATCTCTGACATCTGTTCCTTACAAGCACCCAATTCCTTAGGCTGTTTAAAACCAGTGGCAGTTCTCAAACTGGCATGTTTAGCCAAAGGGCCCTGGTTTGACTCTGAGTAAATCATTTGTAAACTCCATGTAAAGCTGAGAACAGGTTACATTGTTTTCCCTCAGACTTTAGCCCAAGGTAGGTCTGGAGCAGGGGTCTTCAAACCTGGCCCTTTTATTAAGGTGACCAACTTTTTTACAATGAAAAGGAGGACACAAATAAATTGAAGAAAAAAATATCGTAAATAAAAGAACCATTTTATTCATTGCAACAATAATACAGACAACTTACATGTGCAAAGTTTGTCAGCCGGGTGTTTTGGCGCGCTCAGCAGAAATTCCTATTGGCTTTCAAAAGCCAATAGTGGGAATAGCACAGCTCATGCAAAAGTTGAAAAAAAAACCATCAAAAAAAGGTGCCGGAACGCCGTTCTGAGCGTTCTATGAGGGGGAAAAAAAGCCCTGCAGATTAGTCTTCAAATATCGAAAAGGAGGACATGTAGGAGGACATTTTTCAAGGGAGGACAGAACTTACAAAAGGAGGACTGTCCTCCCTAAAGGAGGACGGTTGGTCACCTTACTTTTATGACTGGTGGACTTCAACTCCCAGAATTCCTCAGCCAGGCACACTGGCTGAGGAATTCTGGGAGTTGAAGTCCACCAGTCATAAAAGGGCCAAGTTTGAAGACCCCTGGTCTGGAGGCTACTGTTAAAGAAGATGCTATCTGGAATCCTGGGATGATTTCAAGAATACAAGGTTCACTTAATCCAGTTAGTACATTAAAAAGTCATGCAGCCACTGCCCAAGCAAAGCAAATTCATATGTTAAACATTTCTCAATTGATATCATACACATCTGCAGTTTAGCTTTTCAGAATTCTTACTATGTTTAGAGCTTTGTTTGATCGGTATATATTCTTTGTTTCAATTCCTCTCTTTTGACATATCACTATCACTCTTCTACCAATCTTGAAAATTCTTCTTCCCTAATTCTCTCCTTTCAGTTTCATTCTCCCAAATTTCATTTGTTCTTAATTAAATTCCCACTGCTGAAGCTAACTGCTGCCAGTTATAATTGGCTGAAATTCTACAAAGGGGCAAGAACAGCCTAGTAAAGTAATTTTGCCAAAAGGCAGAGGAATTAAAGTTGTACCAATGGTCCAAAAATAGATAGACTAATAACTTTATTGTCACTTTGAATGGATGCTAATCGGCATACATTAAAATGAAATTTCATTGCATACAGCTCTCAAAGGATCACCACCTCAAATATACACTAAATAAATGTGACAATAATAATAATAATAATAATAATAATAATAATTTATTTATTTATTTATATTTAAACTTCTATGCCGCCCTTCTCCCCAGAGGGACTCAGGGCGGCTCACAGCATGTTAAAAAACAACACAAAAAAACATTTCCCCTATAAAACCAATTAAAAAGCAAATATATTAATAGCTGTGTCATATTTAAAATCTTTGAAAATTTTTAAAAATTATTCCCTATTTAAAATTCANTGCCATGGAGCGCTTTAAAGGTGGTAACTAACACCTTAAAGCGTACCCGGAAGGCCACTGGTAGCCAGTGCAGCTCGCGCAGCAGCGGCGTTACGTGGGAGCGACGTGTCGCTCCCAACACCGCCCGCGCGGCCGCATTCTGGACCAGCTGAAGCCTCCGGATGCTCCTCATAGGGAGCCCCATGTAAAGAGCATTACAATAATAATAGTAAAGTTGGAAGGGACCTTGGAGGTCATCTAGTCCAACCCCCTGCTCAGGCAGGAAACCCTATACCATTTCGGACAAATGGGTGTGCAGTCTCTTCTTAAAAACTTCCAGTGTTGGAGCATTCACCGCTTCTGGAGGCAGGTTGTTCCACTGGTTAATTATTCTAACTGTCAGGAAGTTTCTCCTTAGTTCTAGGTTGCTTCTCTCCTTGATTAGTTTCCATCCATTGCTTCTTGTCCTGCCTTCAGGCGCTTTGGAGAATAGCTTGACTCCCTCTTCTTTGTGGCAGCCCCTGAGATATCATGTCCCCCCTCGTCCTTCTCTTCATTAAACTAGACATACCCAATTCCAGCAGCCGTTCCTTATATGCTTTAGCCTCCAGTCCCCTACATAAATAAATAAATACAGACTTATGCATATGCCCACATATATGATACAGAGCAACAACACAGTCTAGTTCGGGGTATGTATACATGTGCACGGTGAGAAAAATGAATCTTGCAAGTTTATCAGATGGATGCCATGGGGAACAAAGCTATTACAGAATCGTGTAGTCCTGCTAGAAACAATTAATCAATTTGAAGCAAGCGGAAATCGCCCCAATATATTTTGTTTCCAAATCACATTTCTGATTCTCATTTTAGATTGTTAAATTGATCATAAATGAAAAAAGAATCACTAACAGCAAGGAGGGACACTATGAAGGTAATAGGTGAATATATCAAAGCAAATGAGAAGGATTTAATGCATGAGATTCTCAAACGAATTGAAAACTAAAATGTAATGAATAGAGGTTAAACCAATAGAAAAGGGAAAAAAGGATTAATATTTTAAAGATTGAGAAGATATCAATCCCGCTTTCATTTTTACAGCAATAATATGAATTAGACAATAGGAACTCAAAACAGCAAGCTTCTTACCATAATCAACATATTGAACTGGATCCAGAGGCAAAAGGATAAGCAATGCAGCTCACACAACAGTGGTGTCATATGTGCCACTTTAGGGACCCGAGAACTGTGCACGTAACTGTATTCTCCACCAGCTGTATCTTCTGAATAACCTTCAAAGGTAGCCAAATGTAGTATGCATTGCAATAATCCAACCAAGAGATGTCTAGTGCACGAGTGGTTGTGCGCAGGGCTTCATGATCCATAGTAAACATGCGACTGGAACACAACAAGAAGTTGCGTGAAGGCCCTCCTAGTCACAACTGCCATCTGTTCTTTGAGCAGAAGTCATGAGGCCAGGAGAACTCCCAGAGTACACGCCAGGTCTGTCTGCGGGAGTGCAAATCTATCCAGAAGTAAAGACGATAAACAACTGGATCCTGAGATCCCTAGCACCTATAAGCCCCTCCATCTTGCCAGGGATCTACTGAAGCCTGTTGTCCCTCATCCAGACTCTTACAGTTTTCTTATTTTTTTCATTTTGTTCTCAATTCCCCCTTGCTGTTGATGATTCAGTCTTTCGCACCAAAGAGCAGAGAATTTTTCCGCAAGGATAATGAACAAAAATTCCTCATGAAATTAAAAGTGGGGAAGGACATAATGTCTCGGCCAGAACTGTCAGTAAAATGAAAGTCTGGTTTCTTCTCTAGCCATTATGAAACCAGCAGAATCTTGGATAAGCAGAAATAAAAGTCATTCTTGTTTAGCTGACCGGTTGCTTAGTGACCATTTGAGGTTACAATGGACCTCCCAAGAGCTAATTGTGGCCTGTTTTTGAAGTTCCAATGGCCGCCTACCCCCAAGACGCAGTCACTTGATTGTATTTACAGCCATTGGCAGCATCCCACAGTCACATGACTATAACATATTGTATTTTTTGCTGGTTTCAGAGGTTTACTTCTGATTCTTGGCCATAAATGCCCGTAGGAGCAAACAGATTTGCTTAACGATTGTTTAAACAAAAGCTGCAAAACACGTCATAATATCAGGCACATTCACACAGTGATCCCCTTAATGACCACCCCAAGCTATGATATTAATTCCAGGCTCAATTACAGTCATAAGTCAAGGATTACCTGTGAGAGGTGCACTATTTTTCTGTCATGTACTTAAATGATTTAACTTTTATTTTTCATTTTCTTCAAATCAGCTTACGGGCTGGAGCGTGAGAACTACAAGGAGCAAATGATCAAGTCTGAAGAAGAGACGCTTGTTAATCCAGAACCATCACGAGGGATTAAGAAAAGCCGTAAAGCGAGTGGAGAGAAGGAATCTCCCGGATACAATGAAGTCCTTTATCTCCCAACCCAAGAAGTTCACCATCAAGAAGAAGAGGGGAAATATCTCATATGTGGCACAGGAGACAAATATTTCACTAAATATTCTACAACCGAGACCGAAGAGCAACAGTATGAATATCAAGAGGATAGACAAAGTATCAGTTCTACCTCCTGCCTTGCTTTACATTGCCCATCGTACGCCCAAGAGACACCCTGTGCATTTATAAATTGTGGGGAAGATTTCAGTTTCAGCCAGCATATAATTTCTCATCCAGAGGGGAAACCATCTGAGCATCGAATGGATTTCAGTAAGAAACAGCTACTTATTTTACCTCCAAAGGAGAAACCCTATAAATGCCTTCAGTGTGGAAAGACGTTCGCTCAGAGAGGTAACCTTACCATACACGAAAGAATCCACACGGGGGAGAAACCGTATAAATGTCTGGACTGTGGGAAGACTTTCGCTGAGAGAACTAACCTTGTCACCCACAAAAGGATCCATACCGGGGAGAAGCCATATATATGCCTGCTGTGTGGAAGGCGATTCAATCAGAGCGGTCACCTTACGAGACATCACCGAACCCACACAGGGGAGAAACCGTATACGTGCTTGCAGTGTGGGAAGAAGTTCAGTGGACGTTCCACTCTTGTGAAGCACGAAAGAAGCCACACGGAGGAGAAACCGTATATGTGTACGGAGTGCGGGAAGAGCTTCCATGACCTCGGCGTCCTGGATTACCACAAAAAGATCCACACGGGAGAAAAACCGTTTCAGTGCGCGGAGTGTGGAAAGAGCTTCAGGCGAAACGGTCACCTCGCGAAACATAGAAGAATTCACACGGGGGAGAAACCGTACCACTGTTCGGAGTGTGGGAAGAACTTCCATCTGAAAAGCAGCCTTTTGCAACATAAAACCATCCACACGGGGGAAAGGCCCTACCGGTGCTCCGAATGCGGGAAAGGCTTCAGTCAGAACAGCACTCTTTTCCAACACAAAGCCATTCACACGGGCGAGAAACCTTATAAGTGCTTGGAGTGTGGGAAAAGCTTCAGTCAGAACTATAAACTCTTGCAACATAAAAGGATTCACACGGGAGAGAAACCATACACGTGCAAGGAATGTGGGAAGAGTTTCAGCTGTAGCAGTGATTTCAGTTGCCATAAAAAGATTCACACGGGGGAAAAACCCCATAAATGTCTAGAGTGCGGGAAGGGTTTTCATAAAAGAAGTTGTCTTACATCTCACAAAAGGAAGCACACAGGAGAGAAGCCCTATCAATGCACGGAGTGTGGGAAGAGATTTTCTTATAACTTTGTCCTCCGATATCACCAACAAACCCACACTGGGGAGAAGCCATATAAATGCTTGAAGTGTGGAAAGGCGTTCAGTCGATGTTCAAATCTTAAAATCCATATAAGAATACACACGGGGGAAAAACCCTATACCTGCCCGGAGTGCGGAAAGAGCTTCCGTAAGGACAGCGACTTTATTCGTCATAAAAGGATCCACACGGGAGAAAAACCCTACAAATGTTTGGACTGCGGGAAGGGCTTCACTCAGAACGCGAACCTTATCAAACACAAAAGGATTCACACGGGAGAGAAGCCGTACAAATGCGCGGCGTGTGAAAAAAGCTTCAGCCAGAAAAATCACCTTTCTCAACATGAGCAGACCCACAAAAAAGAAAAATCATAACTTGGGAGCTTTATCTTAAAAGGTTTTCTTCTCAAAAAAAGGGACCTTTGCGGGGAAACAGTAGAAATATGTAATCTGTGGAATAATGTTCAGTTGGAAGAGTAGCCTTGTCAGGCCTAAAGAATGGGAGAAACATACAAATGCCTAGTGTAGGAAGAGTTTCAGAAAGGATTTCACTCTTATTTTCCAGAAGAATTTTTTTTGGGGGGTGGGGTGGGGGAGGAATGTCTGGAGAGCGGGGAAACTTCCAGGACCATTACTGGAATAGAATTTGCAAAGAAAATTGTGTTAAATCAGGGGCCTGCAACTTTGGCAACTTTAAGACTTGTGGACTTCAACTCCCAGAATTCCCCAGCCAGCACATGCTGGCTGGGGAATTCTGGGAGTTGAAGTCCACAAGTCTTAAAGTTGCCCAGGTTAGAGGCCTCTGGATTAAATGGAATATTTGAAAGAGCCCCAAAATAGGAATGCTGTCAAAATAACATGGAATTGCATTGATGGTCTCGGGAATGTTTAGACTGAATGATCTAAAGTTGGTAAGGGATACTCAGAAAAGGGGCTAATGAAAGAAAATGATCTATTGGAATATTGCTCTGTGAATTTGGCCCAAAGTAGGAAAAATCAGAAATGCTTTTTAGCCTATAGTTCCGTGGTGGCAAACCTATGGCATGCGTGCCACAGGTGGCACGCAGAGCCCTTTCTGTAGGCACGCACGCCGTCGCCCCAGTCCTAGGCCTTCAGCTGGGTTTTATAAAACCTTTTTGTTTTAGGCCTCCACCGCGGTGTGCAAAAAAAAAGAAGGTTCAATCAATCAATCAATTTCAACTTCTCGCGGGGAAAAAAAAGATCTCGCAAAGTTGGAATTGATTGATTGAACTTTTTAGTCCTACACTAGTGGTGGCGAACCTATGACACGGGTGCCAGAGGCGGCACTCAGAGCCCTCTCTGTGGGCACGCGCACCGTTGCCCCAGTCCTATGCCTTCAGTTGGGTTTTATAAAACCTTTTCACTTTAGGCCTCTGTTGCCGTGTACAAAAAAAAAAAGGTTCAATCAATCAGTCAATTTCAAGTTCTCATGGGAAAAAAAAAGATCTTGCAAAGTTGGAATTGATTGATTGAACTTTTTAATCCCACCCAGTCTGCTGTTACCACCGCAGCCACGCCCACCCAATGGGCCACACCCACCCGGCACCCGACGATGCATAAGTAGGTTTTGGGTTGCAGTTTGGGCACTCGGTCTCTAAAATGTTCGCCATCACTGTCCTACACAGTCTGCCATTACCACCGAAGCCACGCCGACCCAACAGGCCACACCCACTCAATGGGCCACGCCCACCCGGCACCCGATGATACATAAGTGGGTTTTGGGTTGCAGTTTGGGCACTCGGTCTCTAAAAGGTTCGCCATTACTGTTATAGTTGTATCTAGCAGTTCCTGGTTTGCAGAATCCTTGGCGCTCTCTGAACTTGGTTGTTTTCTTGCAGATGTTTCATTGCCAAACTGCACTGATGATGTCACCTAATTTGGTAATGAAACCTCTGCAAGAAAAGAACCAAGTTCAGAGAGCACTAAGGACTCCTTCATTTCAAACCTGAGCTACAAATATTCTCTTGTATTACTTCCTGGTGCCTATTTCTTTTGCCCCTGAATTTTTGATACGTAACTCCTCAAGACCTAAATGTTTGTTGCGTTTATTTCTCCATTACAATTGTATCTTCAAAGAAAAAAAAAGGAAAATAATGTTCATACAAATAAAGGTATTAAAAATATGACAGACAGTGAAAAAGAGGAACAAATCTCAATATAAATGGTGAAATACAGACAGATAACAGAAGCCTTCAATTACCAGCAGATCAAAAAAGCCAATATTAACAGAGGGATAGAATCAAGATCATGTGAAGGGTTAATGCCACTTTATAACACCTTGGTAAAGCCACACTTGGAATACTGCAATCAGTTTTGGTCGCCACGATATAAAAAAGATGTTGAGACCCTAGAAAGAGTGCAGAAAAGAGCAACAAAAATGATTAGGGGACTGGAGGCTAAAACATATGAAGAACAGTTGCTGGAATTGAGTATATCTAGTTTAATGAAGAGAAGGACGAGGGGGGACATGATAGCAGTGTTCCAATATCTCAGGGGCTGCCACAAAAAAGATGGAGTCAAGCTATTCTCCAGAGCACCTGAAGGCAGGACAAGAAGCAATGGATGGAAACTAATCAAGGAGAGAAGCAACCTAGAACTAAGGAGAAATTTCCTGATAGAACAATTAATCAGTGGAACAACCTGCCTCCAGAAGTTGTGAATGCTCCAACACTGGAAGTTTTTAAGAAGAGATTGGACAACCATTTGTCTGAAATGGTAAACGGTTTCCTGCCTGAGCATGGGGTTGGACTAGAAGACCTCCAAGGTCCCTTCCAACTCTATTATTACTAAATGTCTAATATATTCTATACATTATTAATAAGTTGCAGCAACACTATAGAGATGTCATGTCCAATTTCTAGTTAGGATGTCTCTGTTAAAATATTGTGGATTAGTACAATGTGCAAATCATGGAAAAAGCTTATTTATGGGGCTGTGACATCATATTATTACCCTGACTGCTCTGAGAGCTTAAGGGAAGGTGTGGGGTTGATACCCTCCAGGTAGCCCTGAGATACAGTGGGGGAGGCAGAAGAGGCTCTGAGTATCCCCATCAGACTGAGGTTTTAAAGCCAGCCTTTGATCCCATGATTGCCAAACAGCACTTTTTTGTGGCTTCTACTGGTCCTCCTGCCAAGATGCTAAATTAACCTTGATATAATCACTGTTGCTTTGATGGAGAACGGAGCTGAGTGCAAGAGAATAACCTTGTCCCATGTCTATGGAGATTCTCAGTCATCCAGGTGATGATTGTACCAAAGGTGCTTTTTCACGAGGGGTCAAAGAGGCCATCTGTGTCAAAATTGAACAGCCCTCTCTCAACAAAGGGGGAGGGATCATCTATCTCCAGTCTACAACAGTCCTTTCAGCAGTTCCAAGAAGGCTCCACACCCATTTGCACTACCACTTGAGGACACAGACAAACCTCCAAGTGGCCTCAACAACTCTCTTAAAAAGAATGCAAATGACCAGCTGTCTGCAAGGAGTATGATGATGATGATGATGATGATGATGATGATGATGATAATAATAATAATAATAATAATAATAATAATAATAATAATAATAATAATAATAATAATAGAAGGGTCATCTAGTCCAACCCCCTGCTCAGGTAGGAAACCCTATACCATTTCAGACAAATGGCTGTCCAGTCTCTTCTTAAAAACTTCCAGTGTTGGAGCATTCACCACTTCTGGAGGCAGGTTGTTCCATTGGTTAATTGTTCTGTCAGGAAGTTTCTCCTTAGTTCTAGGTTGCTTCTCTCCTTGATCAGTTTCTATCCGTTGCTTCTTGTCCTGCCTTCAGCGCCTTGGAGAATAGCTTGACTCCCTCTTCTTTGTGGCAGTCCCTGAGTCCTTCCTAAGACCTTCCATTCCCCACTATCTGGTCAGAGCTGAAGAAGCTTCTTGGATGAGAAGCGAAACGTCTTCAGATAAAAACCAGAAAGTCCCGTTGCCTCTTGAAAAAGCACCTTTGGGACTGCAGTGATTAAAATTAGTAATCCAGTGGTTAAGCAAATCTGGCTTTCCCCTTTGACTTTGCTTGCCAGGTCACAAAAGGGGATCGCCTGACCCCCGGGGAACACGGCAACTGTCCATAAGTATGATCCAGTTGCCAAGCATCTGAACGTAAATCACATGACCGTGAGGATGCGGCGATGGTCATTAAGTGTAAAAAAGGGTCACTTTTTTCAGTGCTGGTGTAACTGAATGGTCACTAAATGGACTGTTGTATGTCGAGGACTACCAGGGGTAGGCAACCTTGGCTCTTTTATGCCTCGTGGACTTCAACTCCCAGAATTCCTGAGCCAGCCATGCTGGCTCAGGAATTCTGGGAGTTGAAATCCACGAAGCATAAAAGAGCCAAGGTTGCCTACCCCTGGCCTATACCAAGGAGGGCGGCCGGTGCGTGGCGGGGAAGAGAGGGAGATCGAGAGCCCGACAATAGCGCCCATCTCACCCCCAGGGATCCCCTCGCAAACCTGCCCGGTCTTCAAACCTCCAGCGCTCCTACGGTAGCAGCTTCCCTCCCCCCCCATACACACACACTTCGGAATGTAACGGAGCATGCGCGGAGGGATTTTTGCCAGTAGTTGCTTCCCGCAAGACAAAAGGCGCAGAGGGATGGAGACCTTTTAAAGGGGGGCGCGGGTGGGGGGGGGGTTCGCCGGAGGTGAGCCTCTCTAGGAAGAGGCGCACGCTCCCCTTGTCGGAGGCGGAAGGGGCATTGCGCTGCGGCGTGCGTGGGGAGGGGGCGCGCAGTGCGGGGAGGGGGTTGCCGCTCCGCTTTCCCTGCCTGCCCAGCTGGTGCGTTTCCCTTTCCCGGGAAGGAGGAGGAGGAGGAGATCGAGAGTTTGGGCTGCTGGGGCTTCCGGGCGTCGGCGGAGCCCCGAGCGGTCTTCTGCAGCCGCCTGCAGCAGCCGCTTTGCCCCGGGTGGCTGAAGCCCGAGCGGAGCGGCCAAGCTGGGCTGGTGGACCGGCAGATCCTGGAGCGGCTCCTGGCCGCGCAGCCCGCGGAGATGGCGGGCTGGCTGCGGGAGTGCCGGGCGGAGAGCGTCGCCCAGGCGGGGCCCCCGGCCGAGGGCTGCTCCTTGCTCAGCCCGGCCCGGGAGGACCGGAGGCAGCAGCAGGTGAAGAGGGGGAAGGATCCCCTCCTGGGAGGAAGGATCCCAAGGGGATCTGATTTCCTTTAACTGCCTTGTCCTTCCATGAGGATCCCCTCCTGGGAGGAAGGATCCCCTGGGGATCTGGTTTCCTTTAACTGCCTTGTCCTTCTGGGAGGATCCCCTCCTGGGAGGAAGGATCCCCTGGGGATCTGGTTTCCTTTAACTGCCTTCTCCTGGGAGGATCTCC